ACAGACTAAGGGTCCAGATAAATTTGAAATAAGATTTTGGAATTAATTATAAAGAATCTTTTCTGTGGGAAAATGTAATCTAATTTTCTGTCAATGCAGAAAACCCAGAGCTAAAGTATTCCTAATGGGTGGCTTTCTACCTACTTCTTGAAGTCCTCCAACAAAAGAAAGCCTTGGTTTCATTATCAAATTATATGGTATGCAGAGATGGAAGCCAAACTTATGCAAACTAGCTTATCTACATGATCCAAGATAAATTGGATTGTCTTGCATTGCTTTAAGGACAATTTTCCCCATATTTAGCATGCAGTGCTAAAGTGCATACGAGTAGCTCTCATATAGACATTCCTGATTTGAAAGGAAAGCAAACAGAATTTCAAGATGGTACCAAGTGGCCAGTAAAGGAACGTCTGTATTACACAGATCACCAGAGAGGCTTCTTACTCGGCTGCTTCAGTTTTTTATGGAAAGCAATTTACCTGCTGTTCTCTGCCAGATTCAGGTGCCGCTTGATGTCTAACAGCACCTCTTTCAGGAAATTAAGTCTCTTCTCTTCAAACTGCTGGCATTGCTCAAAGACCTGCTCCATGCTCTCCATATACTGTGGGGTGCTCTTATTCACCTCCTCCACAACCTTCTCATACTTCTCCAGAGCCTGTCCAGGCAACAAAGAGATACAGCTAAGTTCCCCTGACTAGGGCCACCACTCAGTCCTGTCCATGCAAGATTTTCTGGGTAGATAGTGTGCTTAAACATGTATAATTTTGCTCTTTTAAACATAATATTGATCTACATTATTTACAGAGTACCCATAGAAGTAAGGTCCAATGAATGAAATAGAGCACGCTCCCAAATAAGCTTGCATAAGGATTTCAATCTTGCCCACATTATGAGTTCATTCCAGATCAGTACTGAATTAAAATTAACCTCACTATCAGCTACAGTATACCCATCTCTATTGGAAGCATGCTTTGACAAATGGTTAATATTGTTCCTGGAACTTGTTACAGAAATAAGAATCAAAGTTCCAAGTTAACTCTGGATTTAGAAAATACAGTCACCATGTGTGAACTTGTGGCAGTGTCACTGAATAGAGTCTTTGGATAGTATTTCTATTTCAGATACAAAAAAGAAGGAATAGCAGCTGATATAGAAAGTAATTATTGAACATTAAATAATACACATAAATGAATAATTGCAATGATTTAAGAGTATTAACTGTCATTCTGAGACCATCAGTATACCTTGTCTACAAACAGAAGTATATACATTTGATACGTATACTTATATCCCCACCTATATCTATACATGAAGTTGACTCTATTTTTCCTGTGTGTGAAGTTACATATTTCTGCATGTGACGATTGTGTACATAGAAGACAGGACTGTCATTTGTTTATATAAAAGGATGTGCATTAACTTTAATGTATGAGTTCTTTGGGTGGAGGTCATTCTTACCTTTTGAACATCTTGCTTGCATTTTTCCACTTTGTCTTGAAGCTTCTTCTGCTGGTCTGGGGTAATAGATTGCTCAGCCTTGCTATTAGCTTCCCGGGTCATGGCGAGCTTCTCCTCCTTGCATGCCAAGTGATATACTTTCTTGGCTGTTTCCAGCTGGTTTGAGAGACAAGAGAAAGAACCCAGACAAATTACTTCAAAGGGTCAGCATAAGGTATCAAATCCTTGTCATTCATGAAGCATCTACATGGTGATTATGGCCAATGTTCCCTACTCTAGCATCCGACAGTGAATCCCTCCCCATTAGAAATTCTCAATTTCCTTAATGAAGTCTATGATCCTGGGCAATCTTGGCTGGAGTTTATGGGGATTGTAGACCAAACCATCTGGAGGACACCAAGTAAATAAGATACTTTAAGAATATCTGTATTATGAGATGAGGAATCCTAACTTGGCTATCACTGTAAACTGAACAAAATACATGGTTTACTTTGTATGCCTTAATTTATTCACATACTATATTTTAAGTTTTTCTTAGCAACTATGGATTTAAAAATTTGGAGAAGTATAGAAGTTAAAATATGTGGCTTATAGCCATGAACTGAGCCATGCAGATTTATAGAAAATAATAAATATTACTTCCATAGGGATATCACCTCAGCAAGTCAACAATGGCTGATCTCAGACGCTCATTAAGGTTGGCCTTAATTCATACTTAGATGGGAGATCACTGGGAATGCCAGGCCTACAGATTGTTCAGAAGTTAAAAAAAAAGACCCACCCACATTTTGGAAGAATGTCATGGCATACTACATTTGTAACACTGCTGTTAAAACTGTGTGGCTGCATTTGTCAGGTACTGAGCTCAACCTGAGAGAGTTTTTATCATTTTTATCTGCATATAGGGGGTGGGCATTACTTAACTTAGTATCTGAGGGGGTAATCTAAATCAGAGTTTTTACAGCTGTGTTCCATGGGGTCCTATGGCTCTACAAGAGCTTGATGGGGTTCTGTGAAAGACTACAGGAGGGAAAATAAGGTTCATTTGAATGCAGCCAATTTTCTAAAAACTAGAGCTTTGCCTCTCAATCAGGAATTCCAGGAATTCCTTTTTTTTAGCTATTAGGTTCCGCAGCCTGAAAAAGTTTAAAACTCCTGATCTAAACCACAAATAAAGGGTTCTATAGATAGGTGGCTGCAACACATGATGTTTTCCTTTCCATGTTGCATCTAGTGTTTTCTTATTATCCTGCCTTGGTTATCTTAAGAGACATGTTCAGGTCCCATGCTAATCTGCTGCCCCTAGATGAGTGGGGTTCTGCAAACAAGTTGGGATTGCAGCTCCCAGAATCCCAGTCAGTCTGGCAATGAGGAGTTGTCATCCCAGCAAAACTGTAGGATACCAAGTTGGGGAGGTTGTTGTCAGTGAAAGAAAGGCTATCTCAACCTCTGTCCAGGGAAACTAATGGATTTCTTTCCTCTGTAAAATAACTGAAGTTGAGAGGTACTTTGTTATCTTCTCTCCTCCACTCCTTCCTACCTCCTTCATCTTCTTGGCCCAGGGTTTCTGTGCTTTCCGAAAACCGTCTTCTGCCTCCTTGGCCTCCTTGAAGCCTCCCATGATCTGTTTGTGGAAGGCATCCTTCTGCCAGTTCTTCACCTTTTCAAAGTCATCATTCAGTAGGCTATTTTTAACTTCCTGGTGTAGCTCGCTCACTTTGTCAGCCTCTGTCATTATGGCCATCCATGCTTTTTCCAAACTGCCATACTGGGGACCTATGCAAAAACATCACCAGTAAGGATGGGGTGATGATTCAACAGCCTGAAATAACAGCCCATTCTTCCCTTATAGACTATATGCTCCAATAATGCACTCACAAGATGAGAGACTGTTCTCTTTTACTAACAAAAGAATTGTTGAGAGAACTGAGAAATCTGCAGTGACAGAGCCTAAGGGAATACAGTACTCAGACACCCTAGTTGCAGACTTTCTGATCATTATTTGTTGTTGCAAAAGATCCAGTCACTTTACGTGACTCACATCTACCCATACTGATATTTAAATCAATAATCATGAGGGCCACTCTAAAAGACGAGAAGTGGAAGATCAAATCTTCAGTGAGTTTATTTTTTAATAAACAACATCATGGCTGCTTTGAAGACTGAAGAAGTGGTTAAATACTCACTCCTCCCAGGACTCAGTTCCTCAGTCCTCAAAGTAACTGAAGAGGCTGATGTTTATGAATTCAGACATTGGCAACCTGCTGCCCTCCAGGTATTTTGGACCACAAATTCCGTAGCCTCTTGCCATCGATCATGCTGTCAGGACTGATCGGTGTTCAAGGTGCAAAAGCTTGGAAGACACCAGTTTGCTCATACTAATATGCAATTGTCTGAACAAAATGAATGCCTACAGTCCTGCTTCCTTTCATTATTCCTCCATCATGCAGAATAGGATACCATGCTGCTGGTACTGGATATGTGCTGCAATGTATTTACAAGTAAGATTATAATTTTATGTACATTTTTGTGCAAAGAAGTTCCACTGAACTGGACTCACTTAGTAAGCATGCATTACATTGAACTGTAATATTTATGAAACTTGTGAACTTTTAGTATTGTTCTGGCTCATTTTGATGAATGGTTTAATATGTTGAATATATTACATATTATTCTTCCATTTTAATTGTTTTTATTGCAACAATCTTGGACCGTATTTTTATCTGTAAATAATACCTATCAAAATTAAGAAGCGATTGTCTGGAAAGGCCCGCACACCTGCCTTTAAGGAAACTTGGAAACTTCAAGTATAGGGTAACAGCAGCTTATGACGAGTCAAGCTTACCTTTTATAAATGAAAATAATCTGAAGAAGAAACTCCTTAGGGTGTCTCTCCTCCACAATGCCCAGGTTAAATCAAGGGGAAAAACTGATATGGTTGCATAGGTTGCAATTCCCTTCCCCTTCTGCCTTTCAAAAAGCTCCCTCCCTCCAGCCTGGTCTTCTATCCCATTATAAGGAAGAAGTTAGAAATACCTTTCTCTATCAGTTGCCTCCACCTCTTGGCCCAATCAACCAGCTGTTGAGCATATGCCTTCTCAATCTTGGCCCGTTCATGGACACAGTTCATCAAATCATTGCAAAGCCGATATCCATCATCAATCCGCTTCACTGTCCGCTTGTAATTCCCCACCTGCCAGACACATGAATAGTGGCCTGGAATAAGTGGCTGGCTGTAGTTCCAGGAATCATCCTGGAGGCCAGGTTGCCTCAGGGCGATCAGGGGAGGGGGAAAATGTACCATGCAGGAAGCATATGCACCAGAGGGTGGGGCACAGGACTGGTGGGGAGAAGAGGGGGCATTTGATTTAAAAAGAGGAAAACAGTTGAAAATGTGCCTCTTCGCAGAAAAGTCTGAGTCTGACCCTTGCCCTCAAACAACAGATAATTGATAGATTAAATTTGCTGCACTTGCACAAATACTGGAATGAGTCTCAGAATCTGTTACCTGACATAGCTATTGAGACATATTACAATTATTGTCATGTCTTAGACCTCTACCATAGTGCAGTGCCAAAGTTTAACCATTCCCATTTTCAGCATGAAAGGTATATTTTTTGGGTAAAGAGTATGTTTCCTGATTCTTCTTTTGCAAAAGAAAAAAGGGGGGGGGAGGTTTTTTTGTATGTGCTCACAATGATTATGCGATCTGCTTCTGTACCATTCTCATCCAATTAGCCTGAACGCCTTGCTCTTTCGCCACAAGGATCCCACTTAATCAGAGATCATTTAGTGAATGTGATGTCTTTGTATTTTTAACCAGCCAATCAGATTTGGCTACCTAGCAAATTACTGAAGAAGAATGAAGATGACTAAGAGAGTAAAGCCAACTACAACTAGTAACTTTTACTAAACCTAAGTTTTACAACACCCTTCTCTCCCTAAATGGCTGAATATGGTCTCCTTTTTGACCAGCAAAACTATTTATCACTAATTTATTATAATTATTTAGAGTATATCCTACCTTTTAAGATACAAATCCTACCAAAGTACTTTATAAGCAATGGTAATGGTCATAAATAAAAAGTATTATTGTTGTCATAATACAATTTCTGGGATCCTTCTCACCAAGCAGTTGTTGGTAGGAGGTCAGTCTGAAGTTTTCTTTCGTTTTGCTATTTGTGAGCAAAGTTCTGTGAAATTGGATATGATGTTTGTCACTTTTAGATTTACATGTCTTACAGTGGATCAGAATGTGCCACAGTTTTGGAACCTCTGTTTTAGAAAGAAAACAAAAAACTGAATGCCAACACATGGATGATGGCGGTGCAATCCAACTTTGAGAAACGCTCAGCTATCAAAGGCTTTGACATATCTAAAGCACCTCAGACCCCAGCAGGGTAGATAAATATTTGTGGCCCATCCTTTTTTTCTCTTTTAAAGTATCTGTTTATGAGATCTCTCTCCCACTGCAAAGAGAGGGGATTTATTAATGCCAGCTTCAGAAACATCACATCTAACATGCTGATCAGGCAGGGGGAGATCAGAAAGGCAGAGCCATAGTTTTTTTTTCTTTACATCTCCTCTACAGTAGTATTTTTGGCATTGGAGTTCTGGCATCAACATGGACTTCTCTATGAAGCTTCTGGAGGAAACAGGTAAGGACTTCTGAAATTAGATTTTTTCTGTTGGAGGTTACAGCTCCTCTCGGATATCAGGGGAAGAAATATGAAAAATCCCATGGAACCTAGGATTGCTTTCTAAACATATTTGTTTCTTGAAGGCTGGTCTTATCTTCATTCTGACAAATCTTTTCCATTGCTACTGAGAACCTTTCCTATGGCAACATGAGGCTGTATTCTCTAGATCCTTGGGATTTCAGCATCCCCAGGAAGAAAGATGCTTTGCATTTGGCTGGCTTTTATTATGTTAAGTCACTCCTTAGCCAGCCAGTCTTGAGCATTTCTGTCATGCCAAGGGAAGGTCCTTACCTCCCAGAAGCTGTCAGTTATTTCTTCAGCAGACACCACAGACTCATCACAGGAACTTGACATGGTTTGTGGCCGTGGTTATTTATTGCCAAGGGGTCAGCCGCTCTGCCAACAGGACCAGACCTCATGCGCTGCAAGGAAAGAACAGAGAATGTAGGGGAAATTATCACCTGACCTTTACCTGGAAACAGGCAGAGGCCATTCTAGAGACAAAAGAAAGCATACAAGAAAGTTGCTGGGAAAACTTAATAGAATCAGCCCCTTATACCAGGCCTTTGTTTGATTACAACTTCATTGCAAAGTTATTCTTTGGGGAAATAATTTCCTTAATGTTAAAATTCCAACAGCATGCCTTGAAGGTGCATTGTCTTAAATCCAAAGTAATAAAATCAAATTGTAATTGGAGTTTGCTAATTGGAGAGGATGAGAGTATTTCTTATAGTTCAAGACAAATAGGGCTACTGGATTGAGATGCAAAGATTCCAAAAACCATTAAATGGCAGCAAAAAAATTAAGAGTTCTGAATCTTTTTGATATCATTTTGTGGTTATCCAGATTTTTGCAGAACAGAGCTGACAGTCTTAAACTCAACTGAAGGCAAGTTTCAGATTCAGCTAGGCTGGTATTGGAAGAGGAGGGAACGATTTTGCCTGCAGTACAGTTCTATGTGTTAGCTGAATTCACCCATTGCATAAACTCATAGTTTGCTTTACAGTGGCTGGATGAATCAGGTACGGTTTGGTGTGATCATACTGCATGCTAAGCCAGGGACAGAAAACTTTTTTTTTTTTTGCAGCCAGAGACTAAGGCTGGGGTATCATGTCATTGGAATGACATGCCCAAAATATTTGGCTGTATTTTGAGAGTTTAGAAAGGGTTTAAGGGGATTCATTTAGCTGCTTTAATCTTTACCCCAAGTGAGAAAAATAGACTCAACTTAAGGGGTTTGTCTGTTTCTTTTGATGGATTGACATTGTTACCTTCAGTCTTTTAAGGCAAACTATCAATCTCAGATGTGTCGAAACTTTGATCCTGCCCACTTTGGAGGTGCTCTGGATAGCCAGGGCTCAAAGGTGTATTGGTAGAGCCATGTTTGACTCAGGAGATGCAGATGCCCCATTCGCATTCTAAGCCATAAATATGGCCTGCGTCAGATAATGGCTAGGTTGATCCATTATGCTAAAAATGCCATATGCAACTTCAACCAATGATGGCGTACAGCAGGATATACTTCAGGTGGCTAACCTAGTAGATTATTGAGCCACACCATGCATGCATGCGGGAAAAGGAGAGAGTCTCTTTTCTTCTGCCCAGGAAGGATCACAGTTGGTTCAGTACCTTCTCCAAGATAAAAATCACACACAGCAGAGAAGCAAAGAAAGGAGAGGGACCAGGTTTATTTTTACACTGTTTGCTTTTAACCTTGAATTTACATAAATGAAGGCTAACATATGTTCAGTTAAAGCCTTGCTATTCAGATGAGGTCAGAGATTCTGTAAAAACAAGCTGTTTTGAAATGGCTGTCATGTAATACTGTCACCTCCAGATCATCCTCACATCCAGCTCATTTGGACAGCCAGAGCAGAAGCCAGCCTTCCTTTACTAGATGCCCTACAGATATCTAGGACCTTAGTTTCCATCATCCCTATCCAGCACATCTAACAGATATTTTGGCTGAGAATGATAAGGATTGCACTTGAATGCTGAAACTTGAGGGGTTTATGGTTGTAGACAGAATAGATGGAAGAGGAGAAAAAAATGAAGAGAACCAAGCAGGAAATAGCAATATAAATACCTCTCTCTTAGGAAACCAAATCCTGCCCTCTTTTCTGTTGTGCTGAACTGTCTGCCTTTTCCTCTGCAGTCCCAGAATGCCTTCTCCAATCTCTATCTGCAGCAAATTAAACTCAGGCAGCAAAATCAGTTTGGAACTAGAGAATGTTCTCAATAATAATAAGAGAGAGACACTAGGCAGACTTAACCCTCTTCCTCTTCCCATCCCTACATAAACAGGATGCATTTCTTCTCACCATACCATTAATCTTTTAAAACCTCTGCTGACTTATATATGGGGGTTCATATATGGGAAGTTATGCTAACCATTCGCCTAGAATCCAGCCCTGGTTGTTACTGCAGAAACAGCTTTCCCAAGGGATGCTGAGCTGGGCAAAGATTGTGCCTGATCAATATTTATTTAGATCAACACGTATATCTCCCATGATGCCCCAAAAAAGATGGTCTTAACCTGGCTCTAGGCCAGCCTCCCTCAACCTGGACCCTTGCACAACTCATCCAAATATGTTGGTTACAAGTACCATAAGTTTGGCAAAGCTCCTCTAGTCACTGCAATTTAATCCTATGGGAAGACTATGCTCTCGTCTATGCATAGGATAAGGCAATGAAAAGAGAGTTTGATTAAGAGAAAGCACAGGGCTTTCTACTAGGCAGAAGAAAACTGTATGGATGAAACTCTTGCAACACAAAGACAGAAAAACTGTATTTGCTAAAATCTCTTCCTCTGAACACCAACGATTAAAAACACAGGATTTCTGGCCTCTACTGAATCTTAGTTTCCTTATTTTTATCCAATACTTTGCAGATATTTAAGTGAAATATCAAATCAGAGTGACTTCCAGTATGGATAACCACAATATTATGTATGGCAAGATGAAGACAGTCTTAGTTTGCAAGTGGAATGGAACTGGATACAATAAATGCCACCGCAAATGCCAAATCAGCACACTGTGTCAATATAAAAACCCACAGCTGGGAAAGTATATCAGGCTAAGAGATGCCATATGATCTGTGGTGGCAACATGGATTTTGTGTGTATGAATCAACTCCATGTCCCATGCCTTTTTCATCTCCTAACTGGGTGAAAGATTCTGGTGTACTGTTTTAACAACAAGTGAAATCTCCTGAACTGGCTTACATCGTTTTATACTGTTATATGGTTCGTGCTGTTTGCCAGAATGCAAAATGACACAAGGACAGATCCTAGGAGGTGAACAAAGATGGGATGAATTGCTTAAATGCAGCGCTTGGAAAGTGACACTGAACCATCCAAATCCTAGAGCCTTGGCAATATGTCTATGGCGCTGATTGCTAGCTGCAGTCTTGAAAGACCCGTAAGGTACTATGCAATTCAGCTTGGAGGTCAGGAGTCCATTTATACTGAGCTAACAATTTAGGAGCTAGGACTAGGCAGAACATCTCTTTGCTAGCCATGGAACGGTTGCTTTAAGAAAGAGGTTACTGATGAACCCAAACACTTCTGTTCCTCTTGCTTTGGAACAGGAGCTCCACGAGTTTAATTGTGGGTGGAAGAAGGAGGAGTTTTTCTTTGGCAGGCTCAACTGATACAGGATTCTGTGCTGAAATGGTTACAAAAGCTTCCGAGATTGTCACAAAAGCTAGAGCTCACTGCAGAGGAACTAATTGCACCTTGAAGGGATTTGCTGTTATCATTCAGAAACCTACCAGTCCAAGCCACCCTTAAAAATAACTGCCTGACTGCATTTTTCATATGTTGGCACAGCCATGTGCAGATGCATAAATGCATTGAGAGAGCAACTCACATGGCAACGCACAGGTGCACACTCAGACATAATACACATTATATGTAGATACAGGGCAGAAAGTATGCAGCTGTAAGGAATATAACTGAAGTAAGTAAGTAAAGCAACATGCATGGCTGTAATATATGCCTAATCATGATGGCAAGGGGAGCAGCTCACTTACAGTATCATCTGTGTGCACAATTATGCATTAACCATGCAGAAAAATACACACACTGGCAAATAAAACAGTGAAGGCTTGACAGTGATATGCCTATGAAAAAACAGGCTAAGAAGTTGCCTGCATAGGTACCAATACATGAGTCTTCTGAATCTATGCACTTTCTTATTAGTGTCACCAAAAGCAAGATTCAGATAGCATGAAAGATACTAAAGCCACAGTATTACCTTGCTATGGTTTTGGCAATAGAGCAAAAGTAAGCGGACTGATTTTTAATTATAGGTCCCACTGTTCTTGGCCTTTCATCAGGTTCACTCTGGCTAATAGCTGTTGAAGTCCAAAATATCTAGAGGACCTGAATTTCTTATCCTTGAACTAGAGTATGGCTAGCCCCTGAATGAACTAGTTTATCTCCAGTTCTTAGATGCTATTACCCATCTATTTCAGTTGTCATCTAATGGTAGAAGATGAGACTTACAGCAAGTATCATCCTATCATAGGAGGAACTTATGATACAGCCTGCCTCAACAAGGAATTCAAAACAGAAAAATCATTGTCACTTTTCATATGAATCCTACAGTTATCCTCCATAATTTTTCCTATCACTTTTTTTCTCAGAAAAACAAGCTGTGAATTATAACATTTGCATCAATCATCCATCTGGAACATATGGTAAACACTGTTGTCTTGATTTAACATGCTACAGCAAGATACATTCCTCCAAATATTGTTCAATACACCCCCACCATCAATTCTAGACAGCACAACCAATGGGAAGAGATAAGGGAACTGCATTCCCACCACATTTGGAAGCCATATATACTGTTCTATAGGAATGCTCTGCACACATTAGCACTGAAATCACATTGAAAGAGGGCACTTTACTCCATTTGACATTTGTAACTATCTTCAATCCCTTTCTCTTGTCAATATTTTACTACACTTTGTGAGACATTTTACAAGTCTACAAGGAAGGAGAGAAAATACAACCATTTGCCAGCATCACAAAGCCAATTTTCTAATAGTTCAGCTGTACCTAACTGAATAGCACAGATGAATGTGGATTCTCACCTAAATGCATATGAGGAGATGAGCACCTCAATCTGCATCTACATCCAGATGCGTATCAGAATATGGATGGGATGATTTCAATGGGATAGATATTCTGATTAACAATGTACATCCCCAATGAGTTGTGTCTAGCTATGTACAATTAGAATTGGATTAAGGCAAAATCTTACTACTGAGCAATGTCAGTACCTAGGCAACCTGGATGGATCCTCCCTCCTGAATTTTGCTAATAAAGGGATGGCTTTATATGGTCT